ATGGAGAACCGATATTTCTATAATTTGCTAACCGAAAAACACTCATCCTGCTCCTATCCCTCCTCAACTTTTAAAAGCTGAACTTTGTACTTGAGAAAACCCTATTTCCCACCAACAAACATAAATGAAGTAGCATGGGCAACAGGGTGGAGTAAATTAAATCAAGGCACTATAGGTAAAAAAGATACTGAAAATGAAGGCCCTGATGCTGCAAACACTTACAAAAATATGTAACTTTAATGAATAGTTCTTTGACCTCAATGAAACTACTTATGTGCTTAAAGATAAATATGTGCAGACGTGGTTGCAGGATCTGGAGTTAAAATTGTGTTTTTATTAAAATGTTATTTCAAAACAAAACTGCTCAGTGCTAACAGTGAAAAATTATTTACACTTTCAATACATTAACAAAGTGATAGTGAACGTTTTATACACAAAGGCCAAACTTTCAGAATTAGTACAATTAGGCTACTAAGCCCATTTTAGGCACCCAAGAGCAAGGTTTTCAAAAGCATCTACGTGACTTAAGAACGCAACTCCGATTGACTTCAGACTACAAACACTGACAGAGGAGTATAACTTCGCCAAAACATTTCAGCTTTCTTAACTACTGGATGTTCAATGTATTGGAAGATGGGAGTGGTTGTGAATGTAGCATGGACTATTTGCTTATCAATTTAGTGTTTGACTTGGTCTCAGAATAAAGATATTAACGAGGCCATGGACTTGCCTTTTTCTGTATAGGTAAGCATTTTAAGCGCAAAATTTCTTAGCAGAAAAAAAATCTTTAAAGAATTTTAGATTTTACCTAAACCAGAAAACTAAACAAACAAGCATAAGATTGTGACAGCAGCAATTCAAGAGGATAAAATGGGAAGTAATGAACTAGCAACATGATTTAACTTAAAAATGTTTTTTGTCCACCCTGCTGTGGAACATGTCCATACCCAACTCAACCAATTAGGGCATGTCTTCACTGCAGCTGGGAGTGTGCTTCCCAGCTCAGGCAGATAGACACATGCTAGTTCTACTTGAACTAATAGGCTAAAAACAGCAGTGTAACCATGGCAGCATACGCAACAGCTCAGGTTAACCATCAGAGTACAAATCCATCTGGAGCAACTGGGTACATACTCAGGCACTGAGTTCAAGCCGTTGCCCAGACTACCCTGCACTAACTGCACTGCTATTTTAAGCATGTTAGCATGTGTCTACCTACCTGAGCCGGGAAGCACACTCCCAACTGCAGTGCAGATATACCTTAAGTGTCATAAAAATTCATTATAAAACAAGTGCAGCATTTCAACACTATGGTTGTGTAGCAGAAGTAGCAGATTGTGCTGGAACAGAAAACCTTTTCTAAGCAACTGGCATGACAGGCTCTCTACAGGTAATGTTTATCAGAAACCACTAAATGATGTCACTAGTACATTACCTTTGACTTGTTTAGACATGGAGATTAAACAAATTTCATTATGCAGTGACAGCCTCTAACAAAATTCTACCCAGTAATCCGATTTTTAAATAAAATAGTTGTGATGTACAATAACAACCATGCCAGGGTACTGATGAATTGAGAAGCATAGCATGAGGAAGAGGGAAGTGCTGAAAGCAATACTTACTACTCCAAAGGACACCTCCTGGTGTAAAGGGTCGTGCGTTAAGAACTGGAGAGGGGCTGAGGGAGTCAGTGTTGGTGGATGGGCTGAGGGAGGATAGGTAAAACCTCCTACTGGAAGGTGTTCTCCAAGCAGTTCTACTTCGTTCTCTATCCTTTGAAGTGGCTAAGAAGAAATAGTGTTTGCTGTATTTAGGATAGTTAATTTTTCCCCACAGATGAGACAAGGTTACAGCTTTGTGCTCCCCGGTTGCTGTCATCTTTTTACAGAATAAAGAGAACTGATTGGATCCATGGCTTCTGTCCTCAACACTAGTGGAAAAACAACCATTTCTCTATCCCCCAAGAGGTTAAATAAGGATCCAGTACCGAGGTTCGCAAACTTTTCTTATGGTGTACCCCCTTTTCAGATCTACCAAATGCCCATGTACCCCACCCTTCTCATCACTGATACTTTGTGCGTTCTTCTTAACGCTACCTGTCTTTAGCCATCTGTCCATATTTCACTGTTACGTGCAGATATAGTGCAATGTATACAACTGAAAAAAACTAAGTTCTGAGCTCAGTTAGATTGCACAGTTGCTGGGCAAACGTACGGTGACTGGAGGTGAGGACTTTGTACGTCAGCGTCTCTGTATCTGTGTTCTCATAGGTACATCTTGAAGTAAATTAACTATCATATTTTATATAACAAATTCCCAGAGTTTTAAGCTTTGTCTGAGTAGCCTATTATGAAAATGCAAAAAATAAAATTAATAAAACCCACCATTACACAATTTCTCCCGTGTACCCCCTCCTCCGAGATGTCTCACGTACCTGCAGTTTGGGAACCCCTGATCTAGTACATAGTAACATTTCCCAGTTAGTCACACTCAGAAGCCAGGACATTTTCAAACTGGCAATTAACCATGGAAGTTACTATAATTGCCTAAGAATATGAGTAGCAGACTGCTCTCCTCATGCACTAGAATGAAACTAGCTGTGAAACGTCAAATGAAAGACTTTTAGCAAGAGGCTCCAAGTTCTTTTGTCCTTCTGGCCACAGTCTATAGCAATGGTTCTCAACCGCGGCACAATCAGCACACAGCTGTGGCCCATGTCACATCATCAGGGTCATAGTAGTAGTATATATATTGCATGGATTTGGCACACAACACAGACAGCTGCATACGCAGCCCACAATGGTAAACAGGTTGAGAGCCCCTGGTCTATAGTAAAAAATAACCCCTTGAAATCAGCAACCAGAGATGATCACCAAGGTACATAGAAAATCACAAGGGTACACAGAAATACACAAACATTTCAGTCAATGCAAGTTCCTCAATAAAATATTCCACTGCAGTAAAGGACTTAGAGTGGATAGATGGTCAGGATGCGAGCTTGGAACTCAGAGGAGACCCATGCTCAGTTGTTTGCTCCAGAGACCCTGTGTGACCTGGAGGAAAGTCGCTGTCTCCATGTCCTTGGCTCCCTATCTATAAAATGGGAATAACTGCACTTCCCCTACCTCATGGGAAAGCTGTGAAAATAAATACACTGAAGAGTGGGAGGCACTGTGGGAGCCAGGTATGTATCTAAAACAAACAGATTTTAAGTAAAATCACTACTGGAATCCAGGAATACTTTAATAATGGTCCTCTGAATCAGTCGGCTACATATTGGTGGGCAGTATCTTAACTGCCTACTCCTTTAGTACAAAGAAGGGCCTATTCCACAGATTATCTCGAAAATGGTGCCAGTTCTCTACTATTTCCTTATAGAATCCATTATCTACATATATCTAGGTGCCTTCAGCTTCTGCTATGTGCCTGAGCAAGTTAAAAATGTTTCCTATGGGAAAGCTCATTGTTTGCATGTGAAGAAAGAACCGTTATCCTCCCTCCACGCCTCCTCCACCAAACCCCATTCCCCCTGCCACTAAAACGCAGGGTATGGACACACTGTACTGAGCTTCTGCCTTGTCTTGGTTGCTTTCATAGCCATGTCAATCTTGTATCGCTTTTACATAAGGCATGTTAAAAACACTCCCTTTACCTAGTGAGAAAGAGATCACCTGTTAAATAAGAGGCTTCCACTCCCCTCTTGCACTTGGGCACAAAAATCCTCCCTTGGGGTGCCCAGGTTATTAAACCCAATGAATGTATATAAGTTCTAGTCAGCAATCCTCACAATAATGAGCTTTGTTTGTGACACCATTTCATTAGAAAGACACTAATATTAGCCCAGCAACTATACTGTGCTGCATTTAACCTCAGAGGCCAGTCAATTATCTGCCTATAGAAGGGAAATAAATCTGCTTCGGTGGGTCTCTCTTTGGCAGCAACAGCAAAGTAAAGGACCATAAGTGAAACAGTCAAGAGTAGGAGGCACCCCTTACTTTACCCATCCCCCCACAAACATTCTGGTAATAAATTCAACAGATTTTCAGTTCTGTTTTAAATTATTTCCGGGCAGAGAAGCAGCAGCATAAGTTCCAGCCCAAAAGACAATTTTAGGAGGAACTCATAAATAGTGCATAGCAGCGGATGAGGCTAGATATGCTAATCTAAAGGGTTGCTATATTATATATTACTTCTATTAAGAAAGGTCACCCCAATGATCAGATCAATCCTGGTCTCAACATTTTTAAAATTCTTAATCCCCTACTGTCTCACTAACTGCCCCTTTATTTCCTGGTTGCAGGTAGATAGCTCCACCCACTTCACGAAACACAGCAGAGGAAACCACTGTGTGGAAACAAAAGGAATGGGAAATTCTGTCCCCTGTTCTGCTGAACAAAACTTTACACTGTAGGCATTTCTATGGCACTCATCATTGTAACCCTGTGGGCATGGCATAGGAGCTGTCAACCCCCACCATACTGGAGTCACCTGATCTAAGTGTAACACCACACCTGACTCAGAGGTTCAGCCATCAGGGGCATGCACAGGCCTGAGCACTTAATCATATTGAAACTTCTCTTTTGTATTTATGTATTAATAAAATATTGGCATCTTCTAAAGTGCCAGCCAAACAAACCTTTAGGAGGATATAGATGCCTGTCCACCATCTCCAAAGAGTTAATAAACGGGGATTATGAAGTCTCACTTTTTGTTAGGTGAAATATGTAAAATAAGGTCACCTACTTGCCACTTCTGTATGGACCCCTATCACGGAGCTGTTACCCGCTCCACTAAGCTTTCCCTGAGTGGAAGGGCTCCATAACCATATCCAAAAAATATCTAGGTTCTCTGGAATGCATTTTCAAGGACACAAGGCACTATGCTTTTCTCCTTTGTTCCGTCGAAATTAGCGATTTAAAAAATCTGTCTAGGGTAACTGGATGGGGGCATGGAGAGGAGAAAGGGAAAATTCCTCCTCACATTCTCCTATTTCTTTCTAGGAAGCAACCTGTGATTTTGTTCCGCCAAGACCACTGCTCGACTTAGACTTTCTCTTCTGCGCCCAGGAGAGAAAAAACAACTGCAGAAGCAGTAGGAAATCTATGAAAAAGGTGAACATTATTTTAGGCTCTCCTGACAGGAGTAAAGGAGGAACAAGAGAGTACGTGGCCTGGGAAATACTAATAAGACAAAGGTGATTGTAATTTCTTGTATCTAAGATTCTTATGGGCCATGGACTTTTGCTTGGGAAGCTCTCCCATTGCATCAAAAACCTGTAAGAGTTACTGCGTGTCAGATGCACTCACTTTCCCCTACCATAAAGCCAGCTGAATGATAACAGCAAATAGTCTAGGAAAGTTAGTTAGTAAAATATGATACATACCGACCGTGACTGTTGTGTTTGGAAGGGAACGAACTGGCCTGGCGGTGGCAGGTGAGGAGGATGGTGTGGAGAGAGGTGAGGAGGATGCAAAAGAAATGGATCACTAGAAATAAGGGGTGGAAACGCTGCGTATGGCACTGGTAAGTGTTGGACTGAGCATGCCTGAAGCATCTGTAAAAGAAAAGAAGAGACCATTTACAATTTTACAATTCTGCTTCTAACCTGAATATTCCTTTAATTTACAGTAGTTTCGTTGTTCACTAGAAGTGGCATTCAAAGGAAATGTACCACTTGCCTCAGAACACATTGATTTTTTATATAACCCTAATGTGGTAAAAGAGGTACTTCCACTCAAGAACTGAGATTTATTTCAGAGCTTTGATATCACAGGCAAAACCTGAAAGGTGCTGAGTACCCTTCATTTCAGATGAAGATAAGGAGTTGAAGGTGCTCCACATCTTGCAGGATCAGACAGGACTTCTGACTGAAATACAAGAAGGGGTAGGGGTTACTTACCCCAGTAGCGTCTATTCTCCATGCGTGTTGCCTCCTCAGAACCACATGCCTAACTACATGGTTACACAACAATTTTAAGGGACAGACAAGATGGGTGAAGTAATATCTTTTATTAGTCCAACTTCTGTTGGTGAAAGAGAAACTTTCGAGCTTACAGAGAGCTTCTCATCAGGTCACTTGAAGAAGAGCTCTGTGTAAGCTCGAAAGCTTGTTTTTCTCACCAGCAGAAGTAGGTCCCATAGAAGGTATTACTTCACTCAAATACCCTGGGATCAACACAGCTATAACAGTTAAGCAGCAACTTGTCTCAAGTTCTAGGTATAAATATTCCAACCCCAAGCATTGCTCAGTTCTTCTCTACCTCTAGAATCCTTAACTTCTGAAGCATAGGAGAGGAAAATGTCATTGTGGCTCTGTGGAGGTAAGAAACCCTAAGCTCTGTAAAAGGTAGCCCCTCTTCTCTCCTTTGAAATTGCCTGTCCAGGGCATGCTAGAGGACACTATGCTCTCAGGAGAAGGGCAGCAGGTTGAGGAAAGGAAAACATTTCATGGGATTTAAATTTGAAAAAAAGTTTAACCAGCTCTACAGTTCATCTTAAAATGGAAAAACAAATAGTCCGAAGTTTTCCTTTTCCCCTGAATTTTTCAGACCGTTATCAGGAGGTGGGCTAAGGAGCACTGTTAACTGAAAAGCGATCAAAGCACTGCCCCCTCCCAAAACAAGCATCTGGTCTGGACACAGGATTGAGAGAATCCCCATTGTGAAGGCGTGGAATGAATTTCAGAGAGGAATCCCATAAGATTTCTGTTAAGGGCATATTGTGGATACTTGCCACTGAAGCAGCCACACTCCCTAGTGAATGAGCCCTGGGAAATCAGGTACAAGATGTAGGCCAGCTTCTAACAGGAGCGCATGCACAGTCTTATGCATTTAAGACAGCCCTTCAGTTGAGATGGCCTGATCTTTAGCTTTCCAGAGGCCACGGACTGCTAGGCTTCCTAAGGAGGGACAGAAATTTTGATATCCACGGGAAGTGACTTCACTTCCCTCAGTATGGCTATGGGGCTTTGGAAAAATATGGGCCTTGAGACAGACATGAAGATTACACAGGGTAGGACAACCATCAGAATTCAGCTCCAAGACTCTCCTGGTTGAGCAGACAGTCCTAAGACAAGGGGAAAAGGGGTAGAGAGAGCAAGGTCCTATGGACTCAGAAAGACTCTTGGTAGTTTTAGTGGAAACCAAATTCAAGTCACAGGAATCAGAAGGCTTCCAGATGGGAAGCGTCATGACTGTAAAATCCTTTAACTTGTTACGCCAGGGAATGGAAAAAGCCACCCCTTTCTTAGAAACATTGTTTGCAGAAATAGCCATAACTAAAGTCATAACTAACAGGTTTCAGAGTAGCAGCCGTGTTAGTCTGTATCCGCAAAAAGAACAGGAGTACTTGTGGCACCTTAGAGACTACCAAATTTATTTGAGCATAAGCTTTCGTGAGCTACAGCTCACTTCATCGGATGCATCCGATGAAGTGAGCTGTAGCTCACGAAAGCTTATGCTCAAATAAATTTGGTAGTCTCTAAGGTGCCACAAGTACTCCTGTTCTTAAGTCATAACTGTTGCCAAGACATCAAAGAAGAGGAAGTCTCTTCAACACCAATTGCACTTAGAAGCATAACACTTCCTAGTGAAAGGGGTCCTGGACTCTTCACACTCCAACAGAAGAAAGTAACCTTGACCTAGAAACCCGTCATGTTGTCAAGTGAAGCAGTTTGAGCGCTGGGTACAAAATCCAGTCTTTCTGCTGGAAGAAGCATTGTCCCAGAGGAAAGACGATCGGTGGTTAGGGACCAGGGCAACAGTCTGGGACTTCAGAAATGTACAGGAAGCAGACTTCCTGCATGACCTTGGGCATGTTACTTAGCTTCTCTGTGGCTCAGTTCCCCATCTGCACAATGGGGATGATCGTACTACCCTACTTCACAGAAGTACTGTGAGGATAAATACATTCAAGATTTGAGGTGCTCTGCTGTTATGTTAACGGAGGCCATCGTCAGAAAGAAGAAAACTGCAATAAAATCAAACTAGGAAGTTTTTAAAACTACCAAAAAAACCCTTCTACTTTTACATACAATTTTTACAACATTTTATGAATGCTCTAGATGGCAGAGAGAGGAACTGAGGGTCAGCTTGAAAGGGATGCAGTATTCATACCCCTGCACAATAGAATACAAGGCTAAAGGAGCACATATACACCCTGAACTGCCAGCGGCTTTTTAAAAGGGTGCCATGGCAAGACACACAACTCCAGCAGTATGGCTCTGTGCAGGCAAGGTCATGAAGGAGAACCTAAGAATGGGGAAAAGCAGGTTTTCAGTACAGCAGTGAATAAGTGCTGTGCGACTGACAGTTCTGCCTCAATATAAATATGTGCAAAACAAACAGCACTTTGTTTACTGATTAGCGGGGGACTGCTAGAAGGTGCCATGAATCAGTCCCCAATGGCTCAGTACATTGCCGCCAACACACTTCCACCTCTGCAGGCCCAGGAGTCATGTCAACACCCAATACACTGTATATATTGACAATACTGACTCTGCAGGTGGTAAAGAGATGTCGCTTATGAGCAAATGCCAGTACTGGAGGTGTAATCAACCTCACTCTATTACTACTACTAATTATTTGTATTACCATAGTGCTCAGAAGCCCTCGTCAATGACCAGGACCTCTTTATGCTAGGTGCTGTACAAACACAGAAGAGACAAGTCCCTGCGCCCCAAGGAGCTTACAATCTATGTATAAGATAAGAAACAGATGGCTAGGGACAGAGGAGTACAAGTGAACATGAGACAATAGTGGTCAGCATGATGGGAAGTGGTCTTTGTACTCTAGCAGCCTAACCTTTGTCAAGTTTTGTGTAGGCATCACTGAGGTCATGACCCACCAAAAATCAATGTTTTACTGGAGGCTGATATACTCCAGAAGATTAGTTTGAGCTTAATTTTGGTTCCTCCTGAAATGTACTATTAACTGTCCTTGACTATTCACCATCATCTACTGCAATGCAATTTACGTGGCAGCCCAAAGCCTTATATTGTGGTAAGAGGTTATTATTCTGCAAATGAAATTTTATTGTATACCATAAATTGAGGATTGGTTCTCTGAATTAACCGAAGATTAATTTATATACTACAACATTAAGTACTATGGTACAACAGTTTGGTGGAGATTCTTGAAGCATATTAAAACAGACTTCAGTGACGACATTTAAATAAATATTAGATACCTACTGCAAGCTTTTAGAAAAGCTCAAACAGAAGTTACAGCCTTGATGCAGGAATTACTGGGTAAAGTTCTATGGCCTAGTCTAACATCCTGTGTAACAAATCATCATAATGGTCCCTTCTGGCCTTAAAACCTATGAATATAGATCTTATCCACACACAACCACTATTATTCACTACTGAGAACAATATCTTGATAGCTTACCTCACAATACACTGAGAAAACATGTTGCTTCAGACTATTTTACTTCATTTTGTGTTATTATATTTACATATTAAAGCTGGAGTGTGTAGTGACCATTACAGGTAAAGATGCTTGGCCATTTCCATTCTAATAGGCCTTTTCCAGTTGCTTATATCTAGGGCCAATGTTTTCCGGCAATGAGGAAATAGTAATTCCGGATTTTTAAAGCTTTTTTAAATTTTAAAGCTGTTTATTTCAGATATGCATTATATTAATACAAAAATATTGTATTGTTGTGGAACACTGAGGGCTAGAGCCAGCTCCACAGGAGAGGTGGGGGACAGACATGGGGCACTGAGGGCTAAAGCCAGTTGTGCACTGGGAGGAGGCGGCAGGAGTCAGTGCTGTGCAGGAGAGGTGAGCAGGGGAGAGGCATTGTGGGTGCTGAGGAGAGCAGGTGCGAGTGTTCTTTCCTCTGCAGCATGGCCAGGGAGCCCTGCATTCCGCTGCTGTGCCCTGCCCACCCAGGGGAAGCTCCGTGGCAGTTTTGCTAAGCCCAGGCCTGTCTGAGGAGGGGAGAAGTTGGCAGTGAGTCTCAGCAGCAGCCAGCCCCCAGCCTCTGCCCTGCACTCTGAGGAGTCAGGTGTCCCAGGGACCAGCACCAGGGCTGCCAGATTTCTACTGCATTAATAGCCCAAAATCACTTTAAAAACTAGCCCCAAAGCATCCCACTCGATTTACAGAAACAAGGGGGGGAGGAGTGCTGGAGGGCTGTGTGTGTACTCGGAGGGGTACTGTTGGGGGGGTCTGGAGGGGGTACCTGCGG